CAACCACTTCTCTGCATAGCCTCAGTACAACAGTAATTCCTCACTGCCCAGCTTCATTTTCATTCAGACCCTTCTCTTCAGAGGGAGGAGGCTCTAGTGAGCTGGAGAACCTGACCCAGAGCTCAGTGATGCTTTCATAAAAAGCCTCCAGATGAAGGCACTCTGGTTTTCCATAAACCAGACATGTCCTGCAAACTGAGTGCACCCCATGCTAAAGGCTCTGCACTCTGTGATACCAAAGAAAGTCAGCCCTGATCTGGATGAAGGTAACACAGACCCAAAAATCACAGACTTGAATGTAATTTCTGCATCAGTTGCTGTTGTGCAACTTGTCAGACAATGTTTGATATTTGGATAGAATTAGCAAAATGCAAATAGAAGGCTAATGGGAAAGGTCTCTGACAGTAGCTGGATGTAATTTAGAGATGGACTACAGCCATGTAGTTGCATACCAGATTTGGGGTTTGGCTCATTATATTAGAGAGAAAAGGCCTAGAAAGGGATGTGCACATTCAGCTAGAGCTGAGTTTTCCAAAAAGACAGTTTTGGTTTGAAAAGGAATGGGCAGTTTAACATCTGAACCACCTGCCTGCTGTGATGCACCAGCCTGCAGACACTCTCTAGAAGTGCTGGAAGCTGGGGGTACTGTTCCTCCCTCTCTTACTGCTTCCCAGAGAGGGGTTGAGGGATGGCAGTGATGACCACTCACTCATGCATTGATACTAGTTTATCTCAATAGCATATAGCAAGAGAAAACCACAAAGGTGTTCTTTCCTCCTCACTCTCCTTGCTCCTCTCATTTATCCAACCATGCCTTTTCTTATTCATGTCGTGTTCTTGGGACTTGTGTGTCCTCTCTCCAGGAAGACTGTTCCCATGCTTTATGTGGCATTGGGCTAAAAAATGTTCTGCTGCTGCTTCCCTGTTTAAGAGAGTGATTTCTTAAGGTGTTCAGAATACAACTTTCAGTCCAACTATGTGCATTGAGGGTGATTTTTCTTTTGTGTCTCCAGACTGGTTCCTCTTGCAAAATATTATTATTTTCCATCTCTCACACTTTAGCTCTTTTGAAATCCAGTTTGAAAAACATCATCTCTGCCTCCAGTTGTGCTTTGGACCTTGGGGCTCTGCAAATCAGCCGAAAAGCTGTTTGGGAAGACAACTCCTGAGATGAAGCTCTGAACTTACATGGACACAGATGCCCAGAGCCACAGAAGAGTGGCCTGAAACTGTTGGTTTGAAGGTACAAAATTTTGTGGCCCTCGTGTTTTAATATCTCATTCAAATGATAGCATTTCTGGAGACAGAGTGTCTCCCAATGCCATTCTGGGAAATTAAATTCAGTGCTGAGTTTGCATAAAATGAGAGGAGAGGTACTTGCTGCTTCATCACTTTATGAGCCTGGCATCTGTATCACTGCTTAGCAAATCTTGCTTCCAGTAATCCTCTTTTTCTTCAGAGCTGAGCACCAAGAGCACATTCTGAGCAGTGTCTCCAGAGAGACTACAAAAACCATACCTCAGAGTAAGGTTATAGCCTTTGATTTGTAATTAAAACTCTCAGGGCATTTAGCTGTACTTGTGGATGCATTACTGAGCCTGTGGTTCCTCTCTTCTCTGACCTCTCCAGCATTTTTGCAGGTGGCTGGTGGCAGGCAAGTGTGCCTGGGGTAACATTCCTGTGTGCTGGGCTGCTGGAATTCAGCTGTGCTCCTTAACAAAACAGTTTGGTTTAGACATTCTTGATGCATGTGTACATGCAAGATGCATTTGGAGGAAAAACTGAGCAGAGCTGAGACACTGAAAGGTGAGGCTGTAAAATTGGTCTTTCTCAGCCTTGATTAATATTGACTGATAATCTTGTTTTCCCATTCTGCTGCTTTTTCCAGGTAAAAGATGTTAAAGAGCGGACCAAAGTATCCGATAATGCCAAATATAAACCCAGTACTTCAGTACCTGCCTGAAAATCAGTAATGAAACTTGTCTGTCAGAGTTGGGTGTAGGGAAACAAATTAATTCAATTAATCCTGCCACCATCAGAGATGTTGGTATTCCCTTTTCACCTGCCACACCACAGCACCTAAAGACCAGCGAGTGTGGTCACACACAGAGCTGTGCTGAACCACAGTGGAACTGCAGAGGTGCTTTGGTCCCTGCTTAACTGAGCAAACTCCCATTTATGCATGTATTAGGTTTTCACTGCCTGCTGCCTGTTCCTCTCCCCCCTCTGCTTTTTCATGTTCAGTGGACTCTCCTCTCTGTGTCTCTGCCTCTCTCTCTCTATTTTTTTTCTCCCTATTGTTCCCCACGTCACTGACTGTCACTCACTTCATAAAGCCGTCTGGCTCGGAGCTTAAATATTGCAGGGCAACTAAAACCCACCATCAGAGCCAATTCAGTCATATCTGCTCAGTCGTGCGACAAGATTGGGGCTTTTAGGGTAGGGAAGAAGAGAGACAAAAGTTCACTCTTCCCTGCAGAGTGCCAAGAGAGGAGGGGGACACCTTTCTTCGGTGGAGCCTCTGACAGCGGCAAGTTGCTTGCTCCCCATCCTTAACCTGTCGAGCCTCTTTCGCCGGTAGCGTGCGCAGGTTGCGACGTCCGGGAGCGCAGGGTGGGGGTCTGCAGCCAGAACACCAGTCTGCTGGCTCTGAGTGGGCTCAGGCAGAGTCCTGCTCTTTCCTCATGGCAGGCGATTCCAGGGGAAAGGTGGCTACATAAATACCTCTTATTTTTGAGGCTGGAGGGGCTGACTGCTTGCAGGTGGAACCCCAGACATTTGGGCTGGTTGTGCTGCTCCTCATCCCTCCACCCAATATCATTGCTCGCAGTTGAACTGACTGAGCAACCTCGAAGCACTTGCAGAAAACAGAGGGGATGGGCATGGCAGAGTTGTGAAGAACGTGGCCAGCTGGAAGTGATCTCAGGGAGGGCTTAGCCAACTGTAGCAAGCTGCGAGCAAGATGTGCGATGGAGTTAGACAGGAAACATTTTCCCTTCTCTTGTACAGTGAGTTTTCCGTGTGATGAGGTCTATCACACCTAGAATGTTGTTCTTGAGGGCTGCAGTGGAAATGCTCAAATGATAGTGTAGATATCAGTGTGACTCACAGGGAGAGAAGGAGATGGAGGTAACCGAGGTGCCTGGGGGGACAATGAAGCTTGTACTGTGTGTAGTCATGTTTTTTACAGAGCTGCACGTGATTGGTAACTGTGGGGTGTACTTTGCTCTGTGAATTTGCAGAAAGAGGATGTTTAAATCAGTTTAGATAATGTATGTAAACAGCATAATCTTCTGCTAGACTTGTTAATGTAAGCGCTGACATTAACACACTTCTTTACACGACTTTAATGACTGAGAAAGTAGCAATTTTCCTTGGTGATTAAATTATATGTTTGCCACTTATGTATGCGAGGTGTTTGTGCAAGCTGAGGAACTGTGTTCTGTTCTTCATTTTCTAACATGGCTGTCCGGGGTAAAAATATTGTGAGGTTTGAAGGCAAGGAATACGAGTCCATCTTGCTTTAGCAAAATGCCATCATAAGTTTGTGGGGCTTTTTTTTGTGGGTTTTTCTTTTTGATTGAAAATTTGTGAAATTCCCCCGAGCCATAGAATTCTCAGTATTTTGCGTGTTTGTCTATGTGTGACTACGTACACAGAGTAGTTGAAACAGACTGGTATGCGTTGGTGTGTCATAACATATGGCATTACAAATATATCCCAGCGGTATCTGAAGGAGGAGGGAAGTTTAGATACTCAGATTTTCATGCTGTTGACTGTACCTTCCTTTTCCGAGTGCTTGTGTATGTGTCTGCATTTAGGGAACCATAGATGGAGGTAGTATCTAAGAGATGGAATTCTAGATCCCTGTGAACAGCTATTTTATGAATAATGTTCCCTGTTTCACTTGTCATGCTCTACAAGTTGGTCTTTCCGGGCCACTGTAATATTCCACATTCCTCAGAGACTTCAGACTGCTGTGATGTGTTAAATCAACCCATACAAAACAACTTTCATCTCTATTTTCCTCATTCATAAATCTTCCCTTGCCTGAAATTATATAGTGGGAAGTTCAGGATATGCAGAATGAAGCCCTGACCTAGGAATAATTTCCTATAATGCAAAAGTAATGACAGATGTAATATTTGACTTACTCGAAAATGGATGACTGCCTTAGCTTTCCAATAGTGTATCTGCAGCTGGCTTCCAGCTCTGTGTTAGCCTGAGATAGTGGCACTGACATTTTAGAGACAGCAAATAGCATTTTAGGTCCCAGTTAGAGACCGTGGTGTTTTCCACTGATCAGTGTGGTAACCAACTTCAGAAGGAGGTGCAAAGAATAGCCCCCATAGCAACAAATATTTATACTGCATATAACATATTCTATATAGCAAAACTAATCTATACAGTAGTTGTTAAGCTTATACAGCATTACTACCACAGTAATGGCATTGTAATTGCTGTTCTTACCCAACAGTGATTGTTAAAGTAGAATTGACATTTGCAACCTAGAGAGAATTCATGTTTGTTTAGGTGCAAGATGAGTGCAGATTTGAGATCTGTTTGACCTGAGAGGGGTTCTGGTGCAGAAGTATTTGAAAGCTTCACCCTCTCTTCTAACCACTGCAGCTGCCTGCTGATAAATCTGTTCCACTGTATTGCTGGTGAGTGTTTGTACGTGTACAAAATCTAAGCAGACTCACAGAACTGAGCCTACAAGGCGCCACAGAAGACTCTCACCTGCAAAAGGAGATAAATATACTCCCTGGCTGAAAAGTAATTGCCCATTTAGAGCCATGGAAGGAAGAATTTAGCAGGCAGCTTGCTCTGGCTTCCCAGCCCTTCTTCTGCTAATAAATCATTGTGAAGAGGCAAATCAGCAAGCAAGCAACCACCTGCCTTTCTGTTCTCAAAGCAACAAAAGACATCAGCGGGAAAACCTGAAATCTTTAAAATTTAGCATAATTTGTGGTCTTTCTCTTTGTTTTTTCTTCCCTTAGACCGTAAGAAATGGGTGACTGGAGTTTCTTGGGGAACATTTTAGAGCAGGTGAACGAGCAATCCACTGTCATTGGGAGAGTTTGGCTCACGGTGCTCTTCATTTTCCGCATCCTGATCCTGGGCACGGCGGCCGAGCTCGTGTGGGGAGACGAGCAGTCAGACTTTGTGTGCAACACCCAGCAACCTGGTTGTGAGAACGTCTGCTACGATGAGGCCTTCCCCATCTCCCACATCCGGCTCTGGGTCCTGCAGATCATTTTTGTATCCACCCCTTCACTCATGTACTTCGGGCATGCTGTGCACCACGTCCGCATGGAGGAGAAGAGGAAAGAGAGGGAGGAAGCTGAGAGGCGCCAGCAAGCTGAGGTGGACGAAGAGAAGCTGCCCCTGGCTCCAAACCAAAACAAAGGCAACAACCCTGATGGAACCAAGAAGTTTCGCCTGGAAGGTACTCTCCTGAGAACGTACATCTTCCACATCATTTTCAAAACCCTCTTTGAGGTGGGATTCATAGTAGGTCAGTACTTCCTGTATGGCTTCCGAATTCTCCCCCTTTACCGCTGCGGGCGGTGGCCCTGTCCCAATCTTGTGGACTGTTTTGTCTCCAGGCCCACGGAGAAGACCATCTTCATTATGTTCATGCTGGTGGTGGCTTCCGTGTCCCTCTTCCTCAACCTGGTGGAGATCAGTCATTTGATCCTGAAAAGAATCCGGAGGGCTCTGAGGAGGCCAGCAGAGGAGCAGCTTGGAGAGGTCCCAGAGAAGCCCCTCCATGCCATCGCAGTCCCCTCCATCCCAAAGGCCAAAGGCTACAAGCTGCTGGAAGAAGAGAAGCCAGTGTCCCACTATTTCCCTCTCACGGAAGTAGGGGTTGAGCCCAGCCCCCTTCCATCAGCCTACAACGAGTTTGAGGAGAAGATTGGGATGGGACCACTGGAAGATCTCTCCAGGGCATTCGATGAGAGGTTGCCATCATATGCGCAAGCGAAGGAACCAGAAGAGGAGAAGGTACGAGCAGAGGAGGAGGAACGAGAGGAGGAGCATGCAGGGCCTCAGGAAGAGCCAGGGGTGAAGAAAGCAGAAGAGGAGGTGGTGAGAGATGAAGTAGAAGGGCCTTCAGCAGCTGCTGAACTTGCTGCTGATATGAGACCCCTGAGCAGGCTAAGTAAAGCCAGCAGCCGGGCCAGGTCAGATGATTTGACTGTATGAAGGTGCAGGATGCGGGGAGCACATGAAAAGGAAAAAGTTGAAGAGGAAAGGAGAGATAGAGAAAGAATCAAAAGATATTTTTAAGCAAAGTGCTAAAATGGCCACTTGAATATTATTTCCTTTTAAGATTCTCAACTGGAAAGGTACTACCATGGTAACAGTGCCTTATTTGCCCCATATGTCCCTGTATTTCCCTGTTTCCACATGCCAGCTCACTCCTTACAGTAATATCTACACTGTACACATAACTGATGTATTTTAAAGCCTAACACGGCAGTGATACCCACATGTTGCCACTGTGATCATATTTACTGAAAGCCTCGTGTTCCACATTTCTCTAGGAATGTGGGGCGGATCTGTCTTTCAGTCAGTGAGGGGAAAGACTGATCAACAACTCTATCTAGTCTTTCTCTTTCTGTTTCCTCCTATGGCTCACTGAGCAGAGCTCCCCTTTGCTGTTGGCATGGAATTGCAGTTATTTAATTCACAAAGTGAATTCTATGCTTAGCATCAACACACTAAAATACTAAGCCGAATATTCCCCTCTTTATTCATAAAATAAAGGCAAAAATGTTCCAAATTTCTCTGTGAATGTATATCTCAGTTAGGTAAATATATTTTCCCTGGTCAAAAATATTTCTGCTCTTCAAGCGACATTGACAGTGGGCATGGTTAACAGTAGCTCTCTACTAGGACTTAGCAGATGCCCAGAGATAGATTATTTGTTCCAAAGAGGGTCATCCAGCCCTGAGACTAGTTCAGAATACTGGAAAGAATAAATTCAAGTGATATTTTTTACTTGTAGCCTTGTAACTTAAAGATTTGAAACTAGATTTAGCCAAGCAAGAGGGGAAAAAAATCTTCTGAGAAAGGAGAGGGACAGCTATAGCCCCTAGAGCATGAAACCAAATACAAGCCTTCATGGTATGATCCTGACAAGTGTTCAGTTCCTAGAGCTTCCAGGCTCCCAGGCACTCAGCAAATCTCAGGAACAGAGTCCTGAAGGCACCTGTGAACCTAAACCAGGGGTCTGGGTAACTATGTGACTTTTTTAAACTTCTAAATACAAAACTGGTTGGTCAAGTTTGAAAAGACTGATAGGGTAAAAGTCTTTTGACAGCCTTTGTTTTTCATTTGACAGACAGGAGCCATTCAGTGGGCTGCTTCTCCATTAAATGCCAAAGTCTCGACCAAGTAAGACAATGCCTTTCAAAAGATGACTTAGACCTTTTGTGCCAACAGGTCTGTACAGAACTCTCAGAGACTCAGAAAAATCTTTTTTTTTACAGAAGGCAGAAAATTATGTGCTTGCAAATGTTTAGATGTCTAATATATATTTCTAATTTTAGGACTACAGCAGCATCTCTTGGCTGGGACAGTGCAGCAATGCGTTCAAAAGCTTCAGGTTAACAGCTATGTCCCCCAAAACTGAGCCCCATGCCAAAAAAGTGCAGGTATGCACTCTGCTCTGCTCTGCTCTGCAAACCTCAGAGCCTGCCATCTCAGCAAATTCTTTCTGCTGGGCTGCAGCCCATCCCATTGTTCCCAGGGCAGGCTCTAATCCAGGTCAGGGAAAAAAAGGTCTTTGGCACAATGCATCAAACTCATCCCGCCGTTAGCTAGAAAAGACCCCCTGCAGCCTCCCATTGTAGCAGGTCTGACTCAAAGCCCAGGAAAGGCAAATGGGTGTCTGTGAGAGCCCTGGGTAGGCTTGGGCCCTGTCCCAGCCCCAGAACAGTCGGTCCTGTCGCTCCTGATCCCACTCCTTTGGTGGAGTTCCCTGCCTGGCCACGCGGCCGTGAAGGTGGCCGGTCTTCACTGCCAAGTGACAATAAGCTGTACATATGTAGAAAGTTTGTAGGGTGCATTGGGATTCTTCAGCTGCCACAGAGGTGCCACGTATTGTTTTTGTTTTTTCCTTTTTTTTTCTTTCTTTTTTATTTTTTTAACACTATTCATCCTTTTGCTCCTCTTGGGCCTGGATATTTTCCCAAGGTTTGCAGCCTGAGGTCAAAACCCTTTTTTCCTTAGACAAAGGCTGTTGGGTGTCCTTCCTTGTGAAGGAAGACTGAAAGGTCCCTCCTCAGTTTTGGGAAGGAATATGACAAAGCAACACATGCAGACAGAGAGCCTGGAGGCTACCATTTATCCACTCTCTGAATACAGAAACAGGAGAACTGTTATCACAACTGAGGGAAGAGCATGTTTTTCAGCAAGAAGAGTCCACTGTGCCCAGTTCACAACACTAGAACTAAAGGAAGGGCTAAGATTTAGATGAAAAACACAATCACCACACTTACACCACAATCACACTAGATGGGATCCATTTATTTTCTCCATAGAAAGAGACAACAGTTTGCATGATTCTAAGCATCAACCAGCCCACTTGTTGAAGGGGGTTGGAAACATACTTTCCTGCAGGTAAAAACCACAACCTTGTTACAGTTTATATGAAGTACCTGCATCAGAGCATCTGACCCTTCCACATACCAAGGTACTGGACTGGTTGAATCACACCCACCCATGCTGACTTCTAATTACTTGACAATTCCACTCCTGATCTCTGACACTCATACATTCATTAGACTACAGGACTACTTGAAGATGAGTGCTTGTTCATCAGGAGTTCATGGTTCATAACGTGGCTGTGAGGCAGGGCAGTCTTTAATCACCACATGTTAATTATGTCCTTTTCCACTGGAGAGCCTCAGTAAAATGCACCATGTGCAGTGTACTCCATGGACACTGTAGTTCTCTCACAGCTGCCACAGGAATGCTCCTTTCTTCCTCCGGGTCCCAACAGCACAAGAAGAAGCTGGCATTTCCCTCCTGCATCCACTCAACTGCTTCTTGAGTTTTTATTTTTTATTTTTAAAGCCAGTTTTCAAGTACTCTGCCTGGCTGGCAGTGAATCTGTAGCCACCAAGCATGGGCCATGGCATCAGGACAGTGCTGCTCGGCAAAGCGGGCAGGGAACAGTCCGGTCTTCTGGCACTCGGCCTCATCTCTGCAAGGAAATCTCTGTGGGACTGTCAGCAAGTCATTCTTCCTTCTTGTGCAATTGGGAATCACTTCCTACCTTACAATCATGATGTGAGGCCTGACGTGTTGTGCTAGTTATGGAAAGGGAGGTCCTTGGATGGAAAGCCCTACAGATGAGCAAAGGATTATTGCTATTTCTGGATGTGACAGCACATAAATGTGCTTTATTCCCTCTCAAAGAAACAAACTTAAACGTTTATTCAAGAAATTCCTAGTGAAGTTGCGTAACAGCCTCAGAGCTGTGGATTCAGTGTATGATTCTACTCAAAAAATAACTTAGCAAAACACAGATATATATATGATAAATGAGGAATATTATTTCCTTGGGAAGGGGGAAATCACTGGACAATTAGCGCCATGCCTGGATAATTTAAAAATGTGTGTTTACCCCCTTGGCTCCCTGTGCAAATAAATTCCTAACTGACCACATGGCTCTCTGCAAGGAGCATAAGATGCAAGTGTCAAAATCACCAAAGGAGGTGAAAGTAGAAGAGCAAGGTAGTCTCTTAGCTTACAATAGCATGTGGGGGTTGGTGTTCTCTAGTGTCTAGAGCAGTGGACCTAGGATAATAATCTTAGATTTATTTCCAGCTCTGCTTCTGACTTGCTGTGATAATCACTTTACCTCTCGGTGCCTTTTTCTCCACCTGTAAAATGGGTGTAAGAATTTCCACCTACCTCACAGGGATGTTGTGAGGCTTCCTTAATTCTGTTTGTAAAGTAAGTAGGAATGATCTGATGAAAAGCACTGCTGAAATGCATGGTATCCTTGTTATTTCTTGGCAGAACTGCTAACTTGGGTAATATATGACTCCTCGACCAGAAGGGCAGTAGTTTGGAGATGGGAACACTGCACTGCACTGACAACATTAACATGGATGTGGATTTGCCTTGGGTAAAAAAGACTTTATTGATTCCCTCACCCATGTCTCCCACCTTAGCCAAGGCCATGTATGGAGCTGTGGTGACAGTGTGGTGATGTGGACCCCTCTTCTCCAACCCCAGCTTCTGCCCTGGGGCAGCGTTTGTGCTTAAATAAGGCAGCTCCTGGAGCACTTGGTTCAGGCTGGTGGAGCTCTGACAGTTTTGAGGCACTTGCAAGGCATGTGGGAGAGGGTTGTATCATACAGAATATTGCTGGGCTTCTGCTTTAAACCACTCAGGGCGACAGAGACCGACACCCACAACCTCTCAGTGAAACACAGTGAGGTGCAGATTCCTCCTCCTGCAGGAGAGGAGAGATTTGGGGGATCTCTGCTCTCTAGGTCTGTGTGGGCATCAAACCTACTTAATGATGGGGGAAGTCCTATCTCTCCTGCTGCTCAGTAACTCACTGACTGTGCAGTTTTACATTTAAAGAGCAGCTGTGTCACACAATGATAAAAAAAAAAAGTAGCAGTTTGCTGTTTTGTATAGAAAATGGCTTTTCAGGCTAACAACCAAAAGTAATCCTAGCCTAGGCTTAGTTTTGTTCAGTAAAGACAGGAACATCCATGAGTACTACACTAAAGCTTTCCTGTAAGCCCAAGGCAGCTGTGATAAAAGAGTATACGGTGCCAGATTTCCTGAGGGCCAGGGCTGGATAAATGTACCAAAATCAGGGGACTTGTCAAAGTATTGGAATAAATTTTCCCCCCCAACACAATGACATTGCCATTCCTTGGGCTCTGTGTGTGCTGTGCCTTTTAACACGGCTCAGGAAAGGCTTTTTGCCAACACCAAATGTGCTCACACAGCTGAGCAGTAACCATGGCAAGTGAATATGTGTCAGCTTTGCCAAGACATAGCCTGGTACACAATCCTTTCCTTGCCACTAGTTTGGCACCAGCCTATTTCAGTAGAAGAGGCAAGACTTACATATCTGTCAACACTTCCAGCTTTCCTCTCAGCAGCCTGCTGTACAGAGACACAGGAGGTTTGTGCAGCCTGGAGAGGAGGGGGCTGAGGGCATTGGGAGCCCTAAATGCTGTCTTTAGGTTCCTAAGGGGGAGGAATTCCAGGGATGATGGAGGCAGACTCTTGACAGAGGTGCACAGCAAAAGACCAGAGGCAACAATCACAATGAGCAGCAAAGGAAAATTTTGACTAAAAAATTTTGCCTAAAAAAAACTCTGATAAGAAAAAAAAAAGTTCAGATGGAGAGTGGTTCAGCACTAAAGCAGGTGTCCAGAGACATGGTGAGATCTTCATCCTTGGGGGATGAAGCTTGGCTGGGGAAAGCACCGAGCATCCAAATCTGACTGTATTGAGCTGGAGGTTAGGCCAGGTGATGCCTTCCAGCCTGAACTATCTATCCCATGGGATATCCCAAGCTGAAAGCTCAGTGCAGCCACTGCATGGAGGAATGACATGTGTAGGGCACTTCTGGCTCTCGGGGTGCTCTGGTTTAGGCTGTCCCAAAGGCCACACAACCTCCAGAGTCACTGGTCAAGTGTTCAAGGCCTGGCTGGATGGAGCTCTGAGCAGCCTGGTCTGATGGAAATGTCTCTCTGCCCACAGGAGGGGTTTGGAACTGGATGATCTTCAAGGTCCCTTCCAACCCAAAACATTCTATGATTCTGTGATTCTACGAAATGATGTTTGGTAGCTACAAAAGCTGCTTGAGGCCAGAATCGTGCTGTGTAACTGGTTTGGAAAAAGCATTATAAATAAAATAAAAAAAAAAAAAAGAAAAAAAGAGAGTATGCTTTTCAACAGATAAAATAATGGAAACATAGCGGCTTAGGTCTTTCCATATTTTAACTTCAGCGTCAAGTGTGCCTTTAAATCCATCTGAAAGTGCAGAGGACTGCATTTTAACATTCTGTCAACAAAAACCTGTGTGTTTTAAAGCTTGCTGATCTGGGATGAAGCAGCACTGAATAGAAATGGTGATTACAGAGCTACTGACAGAACATTTTGAAAAAAACAAAGAGTGCTGGCCTTCGCCTTGCTAGATCCAGTACAGTGGAACAGTGAAAGCAAACCAGGCATTTATTGGCTTCCAAGGTGCAAAAAATATAAAAAAATATATAAAAAAATGCTCAGGTAAGTTTTTCAATACATACGTGTTAGTTCACAAAAGTCATAGACAACCCTGTAAAAGGAATCCATGAATTGCCAGTGAATATCATCACCTGAACTCATCAAAAATGAACTCAAAAGAAATGCAGAAATCAGAACGATGTGGGAATGCTTCCAGCTTCCAGAGTTCTTGTTTATGAAAACCTCTGTAGAGAAGAGAAAAGAAAATGGCTGGCTGGCTGCCAGCTAAGGCTATTTGTCATAAATATGCCCTGTAGCACCTTCTGGAAACCTGTGTGATTTCTAAATATACTCTTGGCCAAACCCCATGATTCAATTCAATATACTGCACCTTCCTGCTTCACTTAAAAGGCTTGGTTTTGGTTCTCTCTACAAAGTGACCATAAAATAGCCTCATTCACTATAAAATGTGGAAGAATAACTACAAGTGAGAAGCTGCCTTTGTACCTGTGGAGGGCCATGGACCCTTCTCCCCACTATCTAAGGAGGAACAGCACAAAGTAAATTTCCCATTTTCTTTTCACACTTTTTGTCTTCCCTAGAGGAGAAGCCCTGGGGCTGAGAGGTGGGTGCAGGGCTGGGTTTTTCCTGTAGGAATTATCTTGTTCCCTGTGTGTTTCTCCCAAGGCCCAGGGATCAGTAATTTACAGCTAAGCAGAGGCATCTTTCAAGCCTATTTCCAAACACATGCAAAGAAGAAAGTTTAAGACCTGCGACCAAGCTCTGCCTTGTTTTTTACTCTTGTGCTGAAGTTGAGTTGCCAAGGCATAAACAAGATCAGAACTTGGCTCCCTATAACTTATTTTTAAAGGATTTCCTGTTAACCTTGCTCTCTAAAAGGCAACCAACAGCTAACCTTGCCCCACAACCTACCAACACAGAACAAAACAACCACAAATCCACAAAATCCCTCCAAACTCAGGAATCTCGTCACTTTAGGAAATAACAGTTTTTAAGTAGCAGATACAGAATGAAAGAACAGGCAAGGCCTGATCCCAGCTCTGCATTAACTGGCAGCGATACCAGAAGGTGTAAAACAAAAAGTCTCAGATCAGATACAATAAGCTGCTCCCTGAGTTCATTTCTCCATGAAAATGGGATGTTTTCTTCTCTTTGCAATACTGCAGACAAGGAGACAAATTTCAAACCAAGAAGTCCGAGAGCAAGACAGAAAGCCAAACAACCAGAGACTGTGGGACAACCCAACATAGATTTGTTTTCCTAGTGAAATGAGTTATAATGAATAAAGCTTCCCGATTTTCAGTCAGCAGGGGCTCTGTGCTTTGTTAAACTCACACCTTGGTTCTTCTTGTTTATTATTCTGAATACAAAGTTTTGAGTGGTAATGGTAAGAATCATAGAATCAGAAGCATTAAGGTTGGAAAAGGTCTCCAAGACCATCAAGTCCAATTGCCAACCCAGCACCACCATCAAACCATGTCCTCAAGCACCATATCCATGTTTTTCAAATATTTCCAGGGGTGGTGACTCCACTACTTCCCTGCGCAGTCTGTTCCAATGTTTTACATTCTTTTCTGTGCCTTTTTCACCACCGTAATGTCTAATCTAAATGTCTCCTGGTGCCACTTGAGGCCATTTCCTCAAGGTGTGTATTTAAGAGGAAAAAGATTCAGACGCCATGAAGGTCAAGTGGGAACATGACTGTGACATGAAGGATCGGATCTCACACCGATAGCCATCAGGAAATTCCCTGTCTGCACTTCTGCTTCCCTTCTGGCCCCATTCCTTGATATATTGCAATGGCAAGTCCCGAAAGGCATCTGCAGTGGAGGGAGGATGGAGAGGGCTCCAGATCAATGTTCCCTTAAGGGGGGGGAAGATGGGCCAGGAGCAGTTGTGGCGTCTCTGCTGCCCTGCAGAGGAGTGATGGCGGTGGTGAAATGGCAGAATCACGGAATTCACGGCGGTGGTGAAATGGCAGAATCATGGAATTGTTCAGTGGTGAAATGGCAGAATCACGGAATTGTTAGGTGGTGAAATGGCAGAATCACGGAATTATTCGGGTCTTCAAGAGCCCTTAAAGACCATCCAGTTCCACACCCCTGTCAGGGACACCCACCAGACCAGGCTGTTCGGAGCTTCACCCACCCTGGCCTTGAACACTTCCAGGGATGGGGCATCCACATCTCTGGGAAACCTGTTCCAGTGCCTCACCAGCGTCACAGTAAAGAATTTCTTTGTAATGTTTAATCTAAAGCTGCCCTCTTTCAGTCTGAATCCATTCCCCCTTGTCCTGCCATTCCATGCTCTTGCACAAAGCCCCTTTCCATCTTTCTTGCCGGCTCCCTTCACACACGGCAAGGCTGCCATTAGGTCACCCTAAGCCGTTCTTTTGCAGGCTGAACAATCCCAATTCCCTCAGAGGCCGGTGTCCACCCTCCCCTTCTCTCTGCGCCTCGCAACCTCACAGTAAATAATTTCTTTGTAATGTTTAATCTAAACCTGCCCTCTTTCAGTCTGAATCCATTCCCCCTTGTCCTGCCATTCCATGCTCTTGCACAAAGCCCCTTTCCATCTTTCTTGCCGGCTCCCTTCACACACGGCAAGGCTGCCATTAGGTCACCCTAAGCCGTTCTTTTGCAGGCTGAACAATCCCAATTCCCTCAGAGGCCGGTGTCCACCCTCCCCTTCTCTCTGCGCCTCGCACACCCCAGGCCAGCAGCGGGTGCCCTTCCCGCGGCTGCTGAGGGCAGCTGAGGTTCGCAGGGCTCAGCTTGGCGGCCGTGCCCCCGCTCCCCTCACGGCGACCCCGCCATGTTCCCCGCCCTGGCCCCGCCCGCCGCCGCGAGGAGGGCGGGGCGCCTGCGCACCGCCGCCACCGGAGGCGGAAGCGCGGCGGGGCGGGCAGCGTTGGGCGCCGCCATGAGCTTCCTCATCGACTCCAGCATCATGTTCACCTCACAGGTACGCGCCCCCTTCCCCGCCGGTGGCCGGGAGAAGGGCGAGGGAGCGCGGGGGTCCCGCCGCCACCGGGCGTCCCTCTCCCTGCGCCCCGTCCGTGCCTGGGGAAGCGCGGGGGCGGTGCCCGGGGGCGCGCATGCGCAGTGCTGCACGCGGACCCTGAGGGGAGCCCGGGCCCGGCCCGGGAGAACCGAGCTCTGCTTGCGTTTAAATTTAACTTTCTCCACTTGGGACAGGCAGGGAAATTCACCTTGCTGGTCTCTACCGAGTGCTCGGTTTGTGGTGTTTCTCGACAAGGCTGGTCCCAAGCAGTTGGACCAGGTGGAAGTGCCTTTAAGTGGATCACAGAGGGATCTGATTGAAGCTGCTGAGCTGGTGTGAAAGTTTTGTTCTGTACTGATGAGGGATGAGCTGAGGGAAAGGAACCTTTCCCCTTTCAGTGGTTGTCTTAGATAGATTTCAGTGCACAACCCTAATTCCTGACAGTTTTCAGGACAGCTTGTGGCTGTTTCTTAGAAGAACAATGCCCTCCCATTTTATAATACTTTTATTTTTTGCTTACAACGTGCTTTTTCACTCTTGGTGGCTTGAAGGTTAGGGTTTGGGTTAGAGCTTAGCTGTACTACTGTTAACAATTCACCCGGAACAAAAACTCACACTTTTTTTGCTTTGAGTTCTGAGCCCTAACTTATCTAATAGCTTTTCTTTCATTTCTGATGTCAGCTTTGAAGCCTCTCATTGCCTTCAACAGCACCAAGTTAGATGTTCATGTTGCTGCATGTAATTGTCAAATGCTCAAGATTTTGCTGGATTTACATTCACCTGCAGTGTCTTAGAGTGTGAACTTTTACCAAAATGTCTTTCTTTGCTTTTGAACAGTCCCTAGCACAAGGAGAGTCTAATCTTGTTTAGTTTTTGGTTATTGTACCTACTCATCTGTTCATCTTTTACTTCTTTTTGAAGAGTTTGTCTCTACCTTTTTCTCACTGTTAAATGTGGAATTACTTGATGTAGGTCTCATTTGCTTATCATACTTATTTAGCTTATGACCCTGAGATAGGAGGCTTATGGAATATCTTTCCTTTTTGCTAGCAGCTACTTTAAAGTCTGAAGTCCTCCTCAAACAAATTACAAATCACTCATTCGACCTCATTGCTATTTCAGTTGTTCTTTCAAGGCAGCTGTGTTTGATCTTCTTCTTCTTGTTGCCCAGCATTCCAGGTATTCATTGTCTGTAAATGATGTTAGTGTGTCACCTTTGCCACTGTGGTTACTCCTGATGTGCAGGGAAGTAAAAATCCACAATAATTCCTTTGGTTTTGTCTTTGAATGTTTCTCATCTCCACGGCAGAAAGCTCTGGCCTTTTCCCTGTGCTCTGAGGAGATACACTGACTTTATTCCGTGATGTCTGACATGCACTGAATTTTGCCTTTGCCTCGGACAAAGCTACTTCTGTAAAAAACACTGAGTATTCCCTGGATTCTCTTTTTGCTTGGGTTATTTTAAATCATTACACTCCCTTCCAGCCTTATGGGGAATAGATGGGACTACCCATGGGAGGCTTGACAACACTGTGCTAAAATTCACTCATCCCTAGAAGATGTGTAGCTGGTGGACACTCAGGTGTTTGCTTTGAAACAAATACAGAAAATCCATTTCTGTATTTCCTGTAAAAAAGCCCATAGGCTGTAGTTCTGTAGATTACAAGAGTAAAACAAGAATCAAGAGTGCAAAGGATTCTGGTAGGCCAGGAACTGAGGAATTCTGAGCATTTAGGAACACCAAAATCTGTTGTCTTGACTGGATCTTCCTTAAGGCCATAGCATTTTGTGTCTGCTACACTTAGTTATTTAAAACATGATTTTTTTCCATGGTACCGTGGCAAGTTTTAATCTTTTGTGGATCTTGGGTGCTTTGGGTTGGCTCTTTTCCTTCCAGTTGTTTAATTTGCAGTCAGCAGTGCAGTGGGTTTGTGTTTGGCAAGTTGCAGGATGCAAATGTTGAGTGCTTCATCTCTTCTGCAGGTGCTGTTCTTTGGATTTGGGTGGCTCTTCTTCATGCGAAAGCTCTTCAAGGATTATGAGGTGAGAAGGAACCTTTCATTACAAGTCTGTATCTTAAAAAAAAGTATCTTAAATACCCCTAATTATGGAAGTATTTAATATTTTTAAAACTGCATTTAGCCTTATTCCTCTCTTCCATCCCTTTTATCTTATCTGCAGTTACTTTCTTTTTACTTTCCTCTTGTGCTTCTGTGTGAAAGACTCGTAGATATCTGAGGGAATGGGTTCTTCTGTGGCCACTGAAAGTTTCCATACTGGCTACTGTTAAATAGAAAGAAATATGGAGGAGATGCAGGGGTAAAAGGAAACTGAGGGAACTGTTTTGCCTTTTAAAGGTGGGTAAGCCCACCTTACATAAGGTGAAATTCTTGAGACAAAATCAAATCTAGTGGTTAATTTTAAAGTTAGTGAGATGTGTCAATTGCAGCTGAGTTGGTTGTGAGGATTGGATAGGATAAAAATGCCATTCTCTTATCTGTAGTTAAGTATGAGATGGTAGTCTAGGTCAGACATGGTTTAGGTGCAAGCCAAATTCAGACCCCAGCAGTTTTTCTGATGTGGATTTTATTTTTAAAACTAAGGCTAATGTAAAAGAGCTCTCTTAGTGTGTGAGTTTGCCCTCTGTTTTCCAAGAGGCTTTTGGCAGATAAAGGGCTTGGTGCCTGTAAGCAAGAGACCCAGTTGAGGGCCATCATACCTTAGTATTTGTTATCTGAGGATATCAGGATGCCATTCCAGAAATGTAAGTGCCTGATGTCTCTGGATTTTCTCTGCATTGCAGGTGCGACAGTATGTGGTCCAGGTGATCTTCTCTGTGACTTTTGCATTCTCTTGTACCATGTTTGAGCTCATCATCTTCGAGATTTTGGGAGTGCTGAACAGCAGGTGAGTCTGGGAACCCACTGGGATCTGGCCTGCCTGGTGCTCTGCAGCATCTTCAGTCTAACTTCTAAATTGATGGATTAGTTGTGGATTGGGGAAATCACAGGAGAAAACTGTCAGCAGCTCAGTGAAGATGTTTGTGCAGCAGCATTTATTTATTTGACAGAAGATGGGAGTAGTAGCCATAAGCTTCCAATTTTCAAGGCAGTTGCTATTAACAATTGGTGTAGGTCCTTAGGGCAAGGCTTTCGCCTTTGACGTTCTCTATTTGTGGAGTTAAAAGAAATTATTTCTTTTATGGAAGTATTGTAACTCTTCAGATCATGCTAAGAGCACTTTTCAGATGCTAAAGAGTACAGAATGCTTAAGCACTGGTTTTTCTTTGGTGGTCAGAGGAGTGAATAAGATGTGAAGCTAATTGTGGAGTGAAAGCTAGGTCTGTAACAATGCAGGATTTGTGAATCAGAGGTGAATCCCTCCTCAACAATAGGATGAAGACTTTTACATAAAGGTGATGTTAAAAACTGTCATCTTTGGAAGTCAGTAGGAAAGAGAAGATAGAACAATAACATGTAGAGGCTAAGTTGGGTTTCTTATTATATCTCATCATACAAGTATAAGAGAGCAGTCAAAGGGGTTGAAAGGAAAGAAGTACAGAAGTGATGAAAGGTAATGTTAGTTCTGTATGTTATTAATGAATGGGGCTGGAAGCCAGAGAGATCACTGGGGAGAATGCTTTTATAAGTTTCAAAAAAGGGCTGCACTTCAGTATAGATGAAAATGTTTGCTTCTGAATTAGTTAGGAAAAAGTGACAAGGATCCTTGTCATTTCTTCTTCCCTGAGGATAAAAAGGATATGAGTTAATGTTGGGAATGGGGACATGTATTTTCCTGTTCAAGTAAATTGAAAGTTCAGTTCAGCCAAGATGAATCTCACCTGCATTTGACTACTCCAATTTGGTCAGAGGAGTGTTCATCATATTGATCTATATATGTATTTATAAAACCTTGCTTTGCAAAGTCTTGCAGATGAGAATTCACTCTGAAGTGAAACATGCTGATTTATCAACATAAATATTTTTAGTCTTTTCAGTATGAATTAGCTCTTTTTTTGACTCAGCTGTTCATTGGAAAATTAATTACTGCTTATATTTAGTTTTAATTTACTGTTAAACTGGATGAGCAGTCAGTCACATGAATCATGCTGCAACTGGCATTAGTCACCATATAAAATACAGTATTTGATAAAATACCCACTGTGGTTTTCTGGACAGTTATTTAGTTTTAAATAGACATTCTTGACCTCTGTATTTAAAAATAAAACCACACAAAACCCCAAACCAAACAACTCCCTCTCTTCTACCCTAATAAAAAAGAAATCCAGATTATTCTATATGCTAAGCCAATATTATTCATTGCTTGATGTAGTTGAAAAGATTTCACTGACATGCAATTTTCTTTGAGAAATTTGTTGTATTATGATGTTATGTTAATCAGTATTTTGGCTTTATTTCAGCTCTCGGTATTTTCATTGGAAGCTGAACCTGTGTGTCATTTTGCTCATCCTGGTCTTCATGGTGCCCTTCTACATTGGTTACTTTGTTGTGAGCAATATCAGATTATGTGAGTACTTGGTTTGTGGGAGAGGAGCTGCTAATTTGAACCTAGAAATGCAAATTAGAAATAATTTTGGTTACTGTCCTTGTACCTCCCTCCTTGCCCTGGTTTTGTTCTGGCTAAATATCTTCTCTTTGGAGCTTCATGCTTTATCATGAACCATTCATTGAACAGTCAGGAGATGCTTCACATGACCCCAGCAAATGCTGCTTTTCTTCATGGGTTTCAACAGAAAGTTGAGCACTTCAGAGTAATATTACTGGGATTTGTTCCTTTGCAATTTTAAGCTTGCAGCCAAACTCTGCAACCCTTGGCAGGGCTGTGTTTTTCTGCTAGGGGGCAAAAGAAATGAGGCAGAGAAGCTCAATAAATCACTTCTGAAGCAGAAAAGTTCAGTAAATTACTTTTGCTGGTTTTGTTTCTGCTGTCTGGATGAGGCCTCTTCCATGGGCTCATGGACACTAGACACATCATTCTTTTGTGTGAAGCTTAGGCACGTAGGTTGGGAATATTAAATGTATAGTTTTGCCACGAAGATGAAATATTTAAAATTCACATTCAAGCTCACACAAGAGAGAAGCAGTGAAATGGTCCCATGTGGACAGGGGAGCCTTGTGGGAGGTGAAGGGGTGCACACTGCAGGCTGTACCTTTGTCAGGTGACACTTGCTTTGGCCACCAGTTCTCAAAGTAGCATTTAGATCAATGCAGAAATGTTGAAAGCTATAAAAAACCCTAAAGGAAGAGCCTATTTTAAACACTCCCTTTCTCCTCTCCATTAGTGCACAGACAGAAACTACTTTTTGCATGTGTTGTGTGGTTGACATTCATGTATTTCTTCTGGAAGCTGGGGGATCCATTTCCTATCCTCAGCCCAAAACATGGTGAGTTTCATTTTCTTGCTGATTTCTTCCTTCCTGCAAATAGACTTTGTTATTTCACTTTTATTTTGGAGCTATTATTATCTCAGCTCTGCAGCTGGGACTGTAGAAAGCAGTTCCTGAAACTGAGGGTCAGCTCTGCTTTGAAATCTGCAATGTGAAGGTTGTCAGACTGACAGAAGTGGCTGGATACATCTGGATTATTTTCATTAGTTTTCTTTCAGGAAAACTTGAAGGAAGTAAGTTCTAATTGAACCTAGACTAGTGTAAGGACATGGTGTTCTTTTGAGGACACAGAAGCTTTATCTCCATAAAAAGTTGATCACAATTTTTATTTACCTACTTCTTTCTATTGTGGAGACTAAACCTAGTTTATTTAAGCAGATCAACAACCAGTCCGTAATCTGATGTTTTTTCAGTCAAGTTTTTCTTTCTTGTGGCTAAAATCAGATGAGTTTAGCATGAGTGGCTGTCTAGTTCTGTCCACAACACAGCAGTGTGCCTAAACTCCAGAGCTGCACAGACTGTAGCCAGCAAGGGGCCTGGTAGTTGTGCTGGCTGTGGTACAGATTCCTGCAGTGCCTGAGCCCAGAGGCTGTGCAGCTGCACGGGACTGGAGTGTGGGTTGGTAAATCCTGCTGGAAGCCAGAGCTGTTTGTGTACAGAATCAGCTTGGGTGTCTCTGTTGTGGTCATGAGTATTTTCAGTGTGAAGATACTGTGTGCACTTGGGCTAGTTTGGGTCCAACAGAGCTGGCATGTGCCTGGCTGTGCTGAAGGAATGCTGTTAGAACCAGACTGTTTGTCAGTGGAGTTACCTGTGTATCTTATATTGCCCTTCTGTTTCCTCTGCACTGGAAAATTGTTTGGATATTGTTCCCAACAGGTGAAATTCAGTCAGTTTCATGGAAATTGGTGAATATATCTGTGTACAAAATGCTCAGCTTATCTAACAAACCTGACTTTGGGAGCTTGTTATGGAAGGTTATGCTTAGTGACACACCAGTATTCTAATAAAGCTCCTACCTCTGAGTTGATGGAGCATTGATTCACTTTACGTGTGAGTTTCATGGGGAAGCATTGCTCCCACCAGTGGAATGTCATGTCATTTTGAAGGCACCTCTGTTTTAAGTGCTGCAGTCTGACAGTGTGTGGGGCAAAAGGCCAGTGTATTGTAGCACATTCTGTAGCTCCTGTAAATCTCTGTGCAGCTGCACATGACTGGCTGTCTCAGTTTCCCTTTGTGAAGTCTTTTTGCCTTGTTTTCATCATTCATTCCACTTCTCTGAAGCATGAAATGTGGTTTGGCGCTCAGCCATCTCAGCTTTGCAATCGTGTAAGCTCTAAATGTGCTGTGTGTGGCAGCTGCTCTGTAACCAGCTCCCTATAAAGTGACTGGTGTTTACTACACATGGCACTGTGTCCTGGAAAGACAGGTTGAGGTCTGTGGTTAAGAATAAATGCAGCTTCAGTGCTTGGTGATGGTTACAGCATGGGCTTGATGTTCATGTTGAATTACATGTTTTGGAGTCTACTTGGTGCTCAGGTAGAAGACCTTGGTGGTCACCTCAACAACATGTTGGTGTCAACCAGATGAACACTGAACAGCCAGGAGCAGTTTAAGCTTCCCAGCCACACTGTCCTACAAGCACAGCTTGTATCTGATCTGGAGGGGTCGTTTCTGATGGGATGGGAGTTCAGATGTTTTTAGGCCAGTTTGCCAGGACCAAATGGTTTGGTGATAATTGCAAAGTGCCTTTCTGGAAGACACTCCTTTAGAAGTGCCTCGTTGAAGATCTGAGTTCCACCTCAGCAAATGGCAAACATGTTTTATTAGTTTGGAACCAAAATATTGATATTTAGTCCTCTCCACATATCCATATATCTGTCTTAAGTTTCTTCATACCTGGAATTCCCCATCCCTGTTTCTAAGCAGGGTAATGTGATTTTTGAGGGAAGCTTCCTACCCCTTTCTTTTCCTAGTCCCTGTCTGTCCTTCCTGTTACCTGGGGTCACTGCAGTGGGAAGGCAGTCAGATTAATTAAGCAGCTCTATGTTATGTTAGGAAGGCACCAAGTGTGGAGCAGAGTGAAGAGAGCAAGGTTGCTGATGCCATATTTTTCCTTCCCTCAGGAATCCTGTCTATAGAACAGCTCATCAGCCGTGTTGGTGTGATTGGGGTGACACTCATGGCTTTGCTGTCAGGATTTGGGGCTGTCAACTGTCCATACACTTACATGTCCTACTTTCTCAGGTAACTTCAGCCTTGTGAAGTACTTGTCAAGCTTTTTGAGATTGTTTTTTACTTTTCCTATGGCATTGTCTCAATTTTTTTTCTAACTTTTTTTCTGAATCTAGCTGTTGTCATGTCTGCATGCTAGAACCATTGCCATTACTCTGCATATTCCCCTTATACAGGCTTTTCTTTGCCTCATAGGCATGTGCACATCTCCTCTGAAATGGGGTAGCAGGCCTAACTGGGGTCTTTATTTTGCAGGAATGTGACAGATGCAGATATTCTGGCTCTGGAGCGACGACTCCTTCAGACCATGGACATGATTGTTAGCAAGAAGAAAAGGTGAGAGGACAACAGTAGCACGAAATTATTTATTTGGTATAAGATGGTTCTTGAAATCTGAATTGGGTTGAGCTGTGTGGCGTTTTGTTCTGGCCTGATGCATGACTGTTTTTAGCACTAAGCAGTGCCCTTTGTGGCTGCAGTGGCACAGATTAGGCTTCCAAGACCATTTGTAACTCTCTGCTGGCAGCATAACTAATCTGTAGGATGGGCACCTTTCTCTGCTGCTGAGTCAGGGACACTTAGGGCACTGCAGCTGGCTCTTACTCGTGGTTTCAGGACAGAAAGTGGTTTGTACATATTGTGGATCCTGGTCAAAGCTGAAGCAGGGTAGTGAGCTGGTGTGGACACAGCTATAGTCTTGCAAACAGCAAGGTTCATGTTGGTTAAGTTTTGCAGAGTTGCAAAACATTGCTAGTGTGGATATATTGTAGTATACCAATGTGCCATCAGAACTCTGGTGGCATTGGTTTAGCTTATTCCATGTCCCCCAAGCTAAAAAAACCCCTACTTTCAGAAACCATGCCATTTCATTTACACTGGAAAGAATTTTGTCTGCATATTTCATATCAGTATTAAATATTTCACATCTTGCTAGTAGTGCAGAATAAATCCACTTACTGGAGTTACTTCAAAGGTTTGGCTGTCTGACACGACAGTCTCCTAAACTTTACTTTTGGTGCCTTAAAGTTTCAATGGAACCTTTTAACATGTGCAGGGGAGCTTAGATACAACTTTGCCAAATTTATCACCATGTGTGTGTCTGCTGATGAGTATTAGCTGATAGAAGTGTAGTTAAAGCATAATCTCCTTCCCCTTTGAAAATGTTAAGTAGTGAACAACTGTTAACTCTGTGGTCATGTGTGAGATGATAAGTAGTGAGAGAATTTAATTACTGAGGTTTAATTGATTTAATTGACTGGAAGCACTCTAAAAGAATGCCACAGTTAAAAGATACTGTGTAGTGCTGTTTCTGACTCTGCTCTTTTGTTTTGTACTGTGTTTTTGGACCTCTGGTTCAGGGAGAGTGATGTTGGGGTAAAAGTCAGGATGCCAGAGGCTTGTAACTAACTAGCACATTCATGCCTTTCTATGACCAGGAAATCTTTGGAATATGGCAACTTCCCAACCATTATGAAGAGCCATGTATTAGTCACTTGGGAATTATAATGAAACTCATGTATATGTTTAAAAAAACCCAACTAAAAACCCAAAACAATGTGCAAAACTAAGTAGTCTCAGAACTGTGTAAGAAGTAGCAGAAGCTTGAGTTCTGTAGATTCTTGTTCTCTTTTTAGCTTTGACAGGGAGCAGTGGGCTTGCATGATTAGACTGTTTGCTCGTGTAAAGCCAAATTTAAAAGGTTAGATATGTATCAGTCCAAATGCAACCAAGTAATTGGCAGAACAAGTGGGAATGGCAGTATTCTCCAGCTCAGGGTAAATGCTGCAGTTCCATTAGTTGTCAATGATGTGCTGACCACCTTCTCAGTACTACTGACAGTTCAGAAATTAACAGTGAGCACAAGAGTTGTAAGGCAATAGAACATAAAACTTTTTGTTTTCTTTGCTGATCCTGACATTTCTTCTCATGCCAACCCTTATTCATGCTGGCTTTCTAGTCAGTAGGAGATAGGTGGTGAAAGTTGTTTGCCCTGATGGTTTTTGCACAGGAATCACTTTTCTCTCCTTCCTGAGCACAATCAAGTAAAGCCTTACAGAAACTCACCTCTAAGGCTGTCAGATTCTTTATACTTGTTCCTGCAGGTGTGACATAACTAATCCTCAGCTTTGAAATGCCAGCATTTTGATGGCATTGCTTCATTTGTGTCATGTTAGAGTCAGATCAGCTGATGTGACATGCAAGTACCACACACTGTCATTACCAATCTACGTGCAGAGTGTGTGGGGTTTGCCTGTGGATCCTCTCTGTGAGGTCTCCAGAACTCCTGGCTGCTGTGTGGATACAGAGATCCCTGCCACCTCTAAAAAGAGAAGATTTGCCTTTGTGTATCTGTAACGTGTTTCACCTGGACACTGCTGCATTTTTGCTGCAATGCTGTGGATCATTTGGGATGGACCATGTGAATCTGTGTACTGTGAAGAAAGCAAGGATTAAAAATGCATTTCTTACATTTGGCAGCGATCTAAGGATTCTAAGATCTCTGTTATTTGTAGTCTGTGGCCATATGTGCTTTTATCTGTATGTAGGGTGCCCCAAGGGTGTTTCTTTTGCTGATGTCAAAGGAATGATGGAATGATTTTTAAATTTTTTTTTTATTACGCTACTTATCAACATCCTTGAAGAGGGCTCAGTGCCAAATGCAGCAATGCTGGCTGCAGCTACAGAAAGGGACTAAACACCACAGAATCATGCATCATCCTGAGAATGCTGTGAATAGCTTTCAGCTTAGGAATGGATAACTTGCTCACAAATTTCAGTGGGGAGAAATGTGAGGGAAGGAGACCAGAAGCCAACACTGCTGGTGGGGATTATGCTGTGGTGCACATGGAAGTGTGAGGGACGATACGCAGCTGCTGCTGCTGGAGTGTTGGAATTAACTTCAGGAGTCACGTTCAGATCGCCTGAAGCATCCAGTGGTTCAGTCCAAGAATGGATTTGTGTGTTTCTGCTTCATAGCAGCTTGTCATGCAGCCCAGCAGTGAGTGACAGCATACCAGAGAGTGCTCTGCACACCATCCAGAGCTCATAGCTCCATGGAAAAGGCGGATGTGCCCTGATAAAGAAGAGGTGTCCAAGGGGAGGGAGGAGCATCAGAAGTCTTCTAATTCCTGAACTGGAGATAACAGTCATGCATTGGAGGAAAGGAAAGCAACTTATTACATGACTGAGAAATCCATTTGAATTCTAAATGTTTAACTGGGTTTACATCCCTTGAGGGTTGGAACAGGATCCTGAATGGAAGGCTTGGGAAGTGTCTCATTGAATCTCACTTGATTAGATCTGGGCTCCACTCCAGACCTAATCAGGATAATTTTATGTAGTGGGATTGGTGTTTAGGGGAAGAAAAAAGGGTCATCTATTTTTGGTGAATTTAGTTTAACAGCATCTTCTAAGAAACTGGTAGATTTTTTTTCTTTTTTCTTGTTTTGATTTTTCATAAGAATATTACATTCCTAAGGACTTGTGTTTTCTGTTCTTTCAGGATAGCAGTGGCTCACAGGACAATGTTCCAGAGAGGAGAAGTGCATAACAGACCCACTGGCTTCTGGGGAATGATAAAAAGTGTTACAACATCTGTTCCTGGCAGTGAAAGTATCCTTCATCTGCATGCTGGCACCTGCCTTGGGAGGTGGATCCAGCTTTCTTCGTTTTGAGAGATAGAGTGTTAGTTGGGACAGTCACAAAGCATTTGTGTTTCAACACATTTCAAGCCTAATGTCTCCTGGGAAGTTTGTTCTCTGGCACTGTCTGACCTTTTGCCCAGGCCTTGGGCACAATTTTACTGTGACACAGGCAAAAGTTTTATGTTTCTGCCCTGCTCTATAAATGTTCTGTTGCATCACCATGAGTGAGGTGTACAGCAGGTCAGGGGACACTTGCTGTGCACGCTTACCACAGATTGATAGAATGATTTGGGTTAGAAGGGACCTTGAAGATCATCCAGTTTCCTGTAGAAGGAATTTCTTGGGAATGACAAGGATCTGTACTTCTTTAACAGGGTTGCTTACCAATGATTTCTGTCAGACTGCTTGAAGTGTGCATTTTGCATATTTGAGGCTGAGGACTCTTCTTCCTCTCCTTTCACACTAGCTGCTAAAATCAGAATTTGGCTATTTGACAGACTATTCATAGGAATCACTAATCTCTTGCAGCAGTTACTCAGCAGTTTTGTTTATGAAGATGATCTGAGATGACATATTGTGAGATGCACTTCAGTGGCAAGGGACACTGATCAAAGTGGAGCAGCAGTTTTTGAGAGCTCTGGTTCTATTCTGTGATGTGTTTCCCAGGCAAAGAGGTTGTTGCATGACTGCCTGAATACTGTGTCCTGCCTTCCTCCTTAAACTGGAGTAGTGTGCATCAGGTTCATCCTTCAGATTTATTTCTTGCTGTTTTAATGAGGACCATAAAGACTGAATTACAAAGCTGATCTGGATCTAGGAAGAGACCAAACCATTAGATGTGGCCCTTGAGCTGAAGGTGGGGAATGTTTTCTTAATTAAGAATTCATGATGTGTTCTAGCCTTGACTATGTTGGTTTGCCAGATCTGTCCCTTATCCAGCAAGAAGTGGATGCCCTGGAAGAATTGAGTCGGCAGCTTTTCCTGGAAACTGCTGACTTGCATGCAACAAAGGTACACAGCAAATAACTGCCCAGATGGGTGTTGGGAGGTCAGAGTGGTTTGAAAGAGTACATGTGTTATGAGAAATTGAAACCTGTTCAATAGGTAAATGGTGAAATGTTGTAATGCAGTGGACTGAGGGTCTGTTCCTTTAACTTCAGAGCTAGATGACAGTCAGATCCATCCTTGAGTCTGCCCCATGGCCCTATAACTATTTACAAGCTTATGAATTAACACTTAGGAGTTCAGAAACATTTGAATTAAAATATGTAGAAAGATAGGGCTGTGTTTGGTACTGTTGGTGCTCCACCATAATTTTATGTTGTGGGTGACTGTGAAAATGACATATTTTTTAATGTTCTCCTCCCTCTCCCTTATTTTGTGTTTCCAGGAGAGAATAGAGTATTCCAAAACTTTCCAGGGAAAATACTTTAACTTTTTGGGTTATTTTTTCTCCATCTATTGTGTCTGGAAAATCTTCATGGTATGTAAATGTTTTATTTAATTTTTTGTGTATGTATGCAGATATACCCTGCATACATTATGCTATGCATGCAGTTCATTAAGTAATGCTCTAGTTTCTTCAAAATCCATAAATTCTGAAAGAAACTGGCCCTTGATTGAAATAAAGCACTGGATCTGGCTTTTTCTATACAGCATTACATCAGTAATGATGAATTACATTCTTACATTACATTGATGAATTGATTACATTGATGAATTACATTACAGAATTACATTCTTACATGGATGTGTTTTGTGCTGCCTTTGGCAATCTGACCACCCCCTGCCCTTTTCTTGGTGGTACAATGAGCCTCACCTGTGAGAGTGAGAAATGCTTTTGCCTTTTTGTATTTTGTGTTTCCAGGAGAGAATAGAGTATTCCAAAACTTTCCAGGGAAAATACTTTAACTTTTTGGGTTATTTTTTCTCCATCTATTGTGTCTGGAAAATCTTCATGGTATGTAAATGTTTTATTTCATTTTTGTGGATGTGTGCAAATATACGCTGTGTAGATCATGTTATGCATGCAGCTCATTAAGTAATGCTCTAGTTAAAATCCAGAAATTCTGAAAGAAACTGGCCCTTGATTGAAATAAAGCACTGGATCTGGCTTTTTCTATACAGCATTACACCAGTAATTCTTACATGGATGTGTTTTGTGCTGCCTTTGGCAATCTGACCACCCCCTGCCCTTTTCTTGGTGGTACAATGAGCCTCACCTGTGAGAGTGAGAAATGCTTTTGCCTTTTTGTTCTTGAATGTAAATCCATCTCTTGCAGGCAACCATCAATATTGTATTTGACCGTGTGGGGAAGACTGATCCAGTCACAAGAGGAATTGAGATCACTGTAAATTACCTGGGAATCCAGTTTGATGTGAGCCTTTATTAATTCTTGCAGCCTTTTCAGCAATTCATATCTTATCTAAATAAAATCATCCTGCTGCCAGGGAGAAAGTGATAGACCCTGAGAATATGGCTTTCCTTTTGACTTATTGAGGAAGAAAGGAAAATGCACCATGCATGTTGCTTTCACACTGGTTTTGTGCTGAGAAGGGGATGTAGTCTTGCCAGAGAGGCAGTGAATTGTTTTTTGGAGTTTTTTTTTTGAGAAATAGAAGCACTTTAGACAATCTGCTTAGATGAATACATTCAGCTCCAAAGTAATTTTGATTTTTTTATGCAAATGGTTGTTCTGTCATTTACACAATCTATGATGGGATTCTTTGTGATTGGTATAAACTAAATCTCCTTCTCTTGTGTTTGGAGTAAACAGTTGCTAATACATTTGTGAAAATGTCCGTTATATAAACCTTGTCTACAGTAGATATCTGTACAATTAGGAGAGAGAAAGACCCTGAAGAACTAGCAGCTATACAAGGTGGTGTAAATGAAGTTAGTGTTAAAGTTTTTACTGTGTTCTTCTTGTTGATACAGGTCAAATTCTGGTCTCAGCACATTTCCTTTATTCTTGTTGGAATAATCATTGTTACCTCTATTAGAGGGTTGTTAATCACACTTACAAAGGTAAGAACTAGGACTGTTAAGTGTTTTTACACAGGGAAATTCATTATAAGATCTCTACCTTTTGATGGAACAAGTGCTGTATAAACTTTCAATATGTATTTATGTTTAAATGTCTGAATATAAATTCTTGCAGAGGGAGGAAGGTAGGAAGAATACCTTTTGCAGAATATTTCCCCAGTCTCTGTCAGGAAGGGATCTAGATGTTAAATGTAAGCAAGGGTTCAAAACGATGCTGTAGCCAAGGCTTATTAGTAAGGTTAATGAGATGTGATTAAAAGCATTTGCATTACTTAATTTAAGCTGCTGGTAAGACTGAAAGCATTAACTGAACAGACCTGTGACTCATTGACTTGACCTGGCCTTTGGTACCTATGCTTAGATTTGTGTGTATTGTTTTGTGATTTTTAACACAAGGTGCAGCTGGCTGGGGAAGATTGATGCAGACTAGGGTTTATGAAAATTTATGGAAGGTTTATAAAAGTTTGAGGTTTATGAGAGTAGTTTACAGGTAGCCCTCTAGAATGTATGGTTTTGATGGGGTATTTTGAGATGAAAAAAATGTTCCTTTCATCCTAAGACACATCAGACTTACCTAACTGCTTATTTCCAATGTTTTTGGGTTTTTTTACCTAGTTATTCTATGCCATTTCCAGCAGCAAGTCATCCAATGTTATTGTTCTGCTGTTGGCACAGATAATGGTTGTTCCTTTCACGCTGTCCTAAGACACATCAGACTTACCTAACTGCTTATTTCCAATGTGTTTTGGGTTTTTTTACCTAGTTCTTCTATGCCATTTCCAGCAGCAAGTCCTCCAATGTTATTGTTCTGCTGTTGGCACAGATAATGGTGAGTATGGAGAACTGTAGGCTTACCCACTTGCATTTCTGCATGCATGCCTTGTGTGTGTTTAAACACACAACAGTAACTTTGTGTGCTGCCCCCTGGTAGCCCCAGAGCCTGAGGTGAGGCAGTAACTGCTGTCCCTGTTTTACCTTGCAGGGAATGTACTTTGTGTCATCAGTGCTCCTGATCCGCATGAGCATGCCTCCGGAATACCGCACCATTATCACAGAGGTCCTGGGAGAGCTCCAGTTCAACTTCTATCACCGTTGGTTTGATGTGATATTCCTAGTTAGTGCCCTGTCCAGTATCCTCTTTCTCTATTTAGCACACAAACAAGCTCCAGAAAAGCATATGACCCTCTGAGGCAGAACTGCAGCCATGCACTGCTCTCTGTCAGCTGCACTGCTGCAGCTCCTGTGGGTTGCAGAACTTGGAGAGACAGGACTGCTCTGTGTGTTTGGCAGTGTAACTGCAAAACTTGGAGAGACAGGACTGCTCTGTGTGTTCTGGCTCCTTGAACCTCCACACGTGTCATCATCTAGCTCTGTGGCTCGTTTTGTTCAGTGCCATAGCTGGAAGGGATGGGGGTGTGTGTGTTCAACTTGAAACAGTTAATTGCCAAGCAATAAAAGCAATCCTGGATACATCACTATCCAGGGGCATCAGAGCTTGTGTGGTAGACTGGCTGAGGGAGCACCTCCTACTGTTGGAACATCATCTTCACAGAAGGCACCAAGAAATGTGATTTTTGTTTTGAAAATCAACTTATAATTGGGATTTGGAGGACAGCAATTCTGGAATTGAATGTTTGAGTCTGTGGAATTAAATAAGCTTTTGTAATATGCGAGTATCTCAGTTGTTTTTTGTCAGTCCCAAAGACTGGGCTGGATTTGAGCCAGAAGGTGGTTGGGATTTGCAGTTCCAGCAGGAGTGGAGTGGAAAGAACTCCATTTCTGTATGTAGTGTGTATCACTAGTACCTACTATCCTTAGGAACTGGAGATTTGCTTTCTCTTACTGAGTGTCAACTTTCTTTTCTCTCTGCATAGTTTTGGGTTCCTCTTTGGTAGAGTTCAGTGTTAAGTTGAAGACCACTGCCATGCCTTGTTTACATTGTATGTTATGAATTTTATTCTTGTGACTTCAACTTTTAGGTTCTCATAGCCACTTTCTGAGGCTTTGTTTTATAATTGTTCTGGAACATAAATTATAGGTAGTAAGAGTAAGACTTGGAGTGGGGGAAATAACCACTCTAAACAATTTATTTCTGCATTGTCTTTGGTGTACAGCAAGGAAGCAAAGTGCAGCAGCAGTATTGCAGAGCCATTTATGTCACATTCAAGACAACATGGTGGTAATTTGGGATTAGGCTGAATTACATGCACTATTCTAATCCACAGCTGTATGCAGAGGAGACAAAATAGTGATTAAACATCTTGAGTTGTGAATTCCAAAGTTAGCTTAATGTTTGAAAGAAGTTTCTGCAATGTTAGCAGGAAAAAAGCTAATGCACAGAGTACCTGGGCTTCTGCCATTTCAGAGCAGCTGTACTGCTGTAAGCAAAGATGCCACAGAGATTGAGGTGATGGACTTGGAGAGCTGCCTTTCCTGGGAGATGGGCAGAAATCAATTGCTCTTTATTAAGAGCTTATCCATAACAGCCTAAGATGCTTACGAATCTATAAAACATTTCCAACTTCTGCTGCAGGACACTTAATTCTAAAGTTGCAGTTCTTAAAGCCTTTTCAGAAGTGAGTGACTGGGTGCCCACTTCACAAGGCAGAAATTGTGCCAGTGGAGCACAATTGCAGGGTGTTAAATGGATGCAAGTTACACTGAAGTGTTTATTGCAGCAAGAGTTTGCAGTCCTTTATGGTTCTGGTACTCCTTGGAACAGCCGAGTTCTGAGAGGTGGAATAGCAAAGAAGAACTGAAGAAAAGATTTGGCAGGTTTCTTTTTTGTTGTTCTTGGCATAGTTTTGTCTCGTCACAACTTTGTGTCATCACTGTTGTCACTGTCAGCTCTTGTGGAGGCTGCTGATTGGGAGGAGGAGGATGAGTCTGCCTGCAGAGGAGTAACAAAGATGTTGTGATTACTTTCAGTTTGTAAACACGTTTGATAGTCTGCACTGTTGCAGACTCCTGTTTTCATCTGCACTAATCACACACTTGTTTAGATGGCAGAATGAACCTATAAATACCATTTTTGTTGTTGAAGGGTTTTTTGTTAAAGTACATTTTCAGAGAATTTTGTTCAATAGAGGGTTTCTGTTGTTGAATTCCCATATCTGCACAGTTTGAACACAAAAGTAGTGCTAACTTCTGCAAAATACAGGTTGGGTACTAAGACATTCTTGAAAAAACTTGCAGAAAAGGCTAATGAAAAATAAATGCGAAACACTATTGGTCTTACCTTGTGTGTCTCTTTTGCATGATCAGAAAATAAGCATTTTAATATTTAAGGATGAACACTGAGGGTTAAAAGAGTTTCAAGAAGTAGCACCTTCTTGCTTTTCTGACTTTAGTCATGCTTTGGATTCTTTCTAGTGGCATGAAGTGAGTAAAATAATTTCAAATCAGCACATTGCCTAGAAAATATCATAACCTATCAGTTGCTGTTTCTTCTCCAAGGTGATAATTTTGAAATATTTCATGTGGTTTTCACAAACGTTGTTTGTGTTTTCTATTTAAGTGCTGTTTCTGTTTATTTAAGCACTTTCCCCTCCACTTCCACAATTGTATTGCCTGTTTCCCATGATTGGGATTACTGTATTTGGGTTATCTTGTTCCATAAAATCTCTTGTATGTGCATTCTTTGTGTGATTTAATATTGCATTAAAGATTGCATTCACCTGTGTTATGTGTGGGGAAAAGAAGAGTTGTTGTGGTAATTAACAGATTTCCTTTTAATAACTTGCAAAAATCCCAGCTCAAGTTAACAATCCTAGCTTTGGAATACTTACTACCTGAAAAAAAAGTTATTTTCCTATCCCCTGTGCGATCCCTCAGCATCTGCCTAATGCAGGATTACTCACCCTTTCCCTTGGCTCAGGTGAGTTCCTCTCTGGCTCTGCTGGATGGTTTTCTGTGTGAGCAGGAGCCTCAGGAGTGTCTGACTCGGCCATGGAGGCTGTGATGGGAATGTTTTGGCCTTGGAAGTACCTGTAAGCATCTTTGCTGCACACCAGCAGTGTCAGGCTGTCCCCAGTGCTTTGGATCCTTGCCACCACCTTGTCATAGGATTCGTGGGTCACGTTCACTCCGTTCACTTCCACCAAGAAGTCGTTGTTTTCCACACCTGCTCTGTCAGCTGCTCCCTGGCTTTGTACCTGCAGAGGGGAGTTCAGAGCAGGGTCTTGGCAGAAAGCTTGGAAAGATGCATGAACAACTGAGGGTAAGCTGTGTTCCTGCTTTCCCCAGAAGATGGTGAAGTAAGCATGGGGAGATTTGTGGGGCAGGAAGGAATTGCGATGGGCAATGGGCCCAGATAATAATAAACGCAGAGCCCATCAGTTTGAGATTTTAAGATGTTGATCTCAATTGGTTTACATTACAGGAATATGGCATGGTAGAACCATGAAGATGGGTAGAAAAACTTTTCTAACTATTTGGAGGTATCTGTCCAATAACTTTAAAGTTTAGTACAATTCACAGATCCCTTAGTAATGAGGGGAACCCCTCATCTCAAGAAAGCTGAAGTTACAGATGTAACTTGGAACAGAAGCAGTTTGGCTTTTACCGGCTGTGGAATTCAGAGAAGGTGGGTAGAATTAGGGCAAAGTAATCTCTTCTATAATTAAGCTGCTCTGCACGATCTTGATCGGTTTACATTATAGGAATGTGGCATGGTAGAACCATGAAGAAGGTAGAAAAACTTTTCTATTTGGAGGTATCTGTCCAATAACTTCAAAGTTTGGTACAATTCACAGATCCCTTAGTACTGAGGGGAACCCCTCATCTCAAGAAAGCTGAAGTTACAGATGTAACTTGGAACAGAAGCAGTTTGGCTTTTACCGGCTGTGGAATTCAGAGAAGGTGGGTAGAATTAGGGCAAAGTAATCTCTTCTATAATTAAGCTGCTCTGCAGTAAAAACCAATTATGTCTAAAATACTAATTTTAGTGTGCCGGACTCATGAATAACAGACAAAATTATGCAAAAGCTGAATTCTCCCCCTCTAGATGTCTAATAGTAAGAAGGAATGTTTTCTGGTGCTCATTTTTTATCTTGGGCCAACAATGTTAGTCTGACTTAAACAATCCTAGCTCTGATCTGAGAACATTGGAAAAGAGACTTCTGTGGCTTTTCTTGCATTTGTTTGCAGGATGGAGGGGAGGAAGCTGCCCAACAGACTACTTGAGCTTCTTGCTCCTCATTCTTCATTAGTACCTCAGTGATGAACAATCCAGGTTTGTTCTTGATCATGTTTAAACTGAAGCCAAATCCATTAGGTCCTTTCACCATCTTGCAGATCCTTGGCTTGTGGTTCACTTTCTGCTCAGTGTGCAACTCCACTCTTTCCTCCCTTTTAGCTGGGGTTGAATCCTGTGCTTTGTAGTAGTATGAGAAAGGGGAAATTTGAGCCTGAAAAAAAAGTGACAAAATTACATTCAAAAATTTTTCTGTTGTGAAATCTGTTTCAGGTTCTCACGTTCAACATATTTTGTTTGAAACTTTGTTAATAACTCAGACTTTAGAAAAAAATTCCTGTTGTGAAATCTGTTTCAGGCTCTCATGCTCAACATATTTTGTTTGAAACTTTGTTAATGACTCAGACTTTAGCTGCAGTGAAGAATTCTTCCCTATTCTGAGTGGAAAACTACAGCATTGATCTATGTGAGAAGGGAAATTTGTCATTTATAAGAATAGTTACAGTCATGTAGCTCTGAATTTGTCTTAACAGCAAAACTTAACCTTTTTTGTGATGTGTTTGAATTTAGAATTGTTCTAATAGTGTCTATAAAAATCAGGAAGAGGCAAAAGATTTAGGTGTTAAGTGACTTCCTGTACTGGTGTAAGTGGAGTTGCTGGAATACAGGTGTCTCTTAGGCCTTTCCTGCGAGTTAAAAAAGTGTCAGAGCAGATTGGCTGTTTCATTGTGATAAATTATCAATTCCTAGCAGCAGTTTGCGTTTTCTTACCAGTTTGTACATGCTGTCAGTTTCCTTATCCACCACCAACAGGGAGGTTCTTTCCTCAGACTGCTTGATTTTTCCCACCACGCTTTCATGATCCAGCCCATCCACTCGCTCGCCGTTGACAGCCACTAAGATGTCATTGTCCTTTAGACCTGCCATAGCTGCTGGGCTTCCAGAATTAACATCTTTGATTACGTGGTCTGAGATAAGAAGGGGAGAAAGATTGCTATGAATGCAAAGCTTGGTGAGTTTTAAAGACATTAAAAAGCATGGCAAATGCAAATGGTCAGAATTGCTTTTCAGGTTGAAGCTGTTTTCCCTGAGGATTTCTCCTACATGGCCAGCAAGAAGCCAAAGAGAATGAAGGCTGCAAGCATCAAATAGGAAGAAATGGTACAGCAATATCATGGTCTGTGTGTTAACTCGGATCTTACCACCAGTATTTTGTTCCATCCGTAGGTAAAATCCATAACCGCTTTTTCCTTTCTGGATCTCAATAAGTCGTGGTTTGAGGGGAAGCAACCTTAGGCTGGCGCTCTCTTTGCTCAGTGCCATCCTCTGGCTTGTGAAATAGCGGTCTGTTTCTTCATTTGAAAGTAGAAACATAACATGATTTTCAGACTTCTTTACCTGTGACAGCACATGTACAGTCTCAGATGTCACCCCTTCAACAGCACGTGGGAATTGGGGATATTTGGTAACTTGG